AAGTGGCCCTCACCTAATCTGAATTGCTTGCCTGACAAGTATTCCTCCTGGTAGCATGTGATTTGATTTTAGCATCACACACACACACACACACACACACACACACACACACACATACAGTCTGAGCATATCCATTGCAAGAGCAGGTTCTGAACATCAGGAAGGAATGGGGTGGTACTAGACATTAGGGAGCAGAACTGCAGCCTGTCCTCCCATGAGCCACACATGCTAGGGCAGGAAGCACATAGACAACGGCAACCAGGGAGCCAGCCAGTGCCTCAGGCCTAGGAACTTCAGTGTTCCAATCAATGTTGTGCTATTTACATCAGGCAGGAATGACCAGGGAAGGGTGTGTCTGGGCTGCAGCTGGGCCCTTCTGTACTCAGAAGCTGCTCCAACATACACAAAACAGCCGACACCCAGAGCTTAAGCAGGCAAGTGCTGAGGCTCTGCCTAGTGGTCCTGGAGGCTCATGTATATTACAGGACCAAACAGGAAGTAGGTGGTACCCAAGGTGTCTTCTAGAATGGGAGAGCTATCCTAGGACTAAGACAGCTCATATCAGCTGACAGCCCAGGGGTTGAAGAATCCAGGCCCTTGGGATCAGCCTGGAAGTTGGGCCTGTGGGACTCTGTTGGGAAAATTGAGCACTTGTCCCTTACAGCTCTCTTCTCCCCACCCAGATGTAGAACTTCCACGCAAACAAGGTTGAGCAAACAAGGTTGTTTTCAAAACTTTCTGGTGTGCAGTGCAGGTGCCTTGACCCCAGGTGTGGGTGGTGTGTGACTTCCTCCTATGCTTAGCCCATCCCTGGCTTGGGTATATAAGCCAGGGTGGTGGCAGCAGCTTCTTCTTAACTTCTTGTGGCGGTCTGTTAAGTGTTTCAATCCTGATACCCTCTGCCAAGCTTGGTACTCTGGCTGTGCAGGGGCAGCAAGCGTGGCAGCACTCCATGGCAGATTCATGTCCCCACACTGCCCCCCCCAGCTCCCTGGAAAAAGATCAAACTGTGATGTATGGTCCCTTCCCAGTATGGTTGCCTACTACCTCCTCCACCTCCTCAGCTCCTCAGTAACAACACTGGGACTTGATCAGAACTGCTATGCTCTGTCCCCAGCTGTTGTAACTGTAGATGTGAGCATCTGTACAGACATCCTTTACTGACAGCACAGTAGGAGCTGTGGTCACCTCCCTTGACTGAAGTCCCTCCCACAGGTCTGTCTGTACACCTCCTCCTGGCATGAGGCATAAGCTGTGTCTAAGAAGTCCCTCTCACCATGGATCAGGTACTGACCTGCCCAAGCAGGACAGCACTGTGGTTCCCTGGGAGTCACATAGGTCAGGGCCACACATAAAGACGATTCACATTATCACAATGTGGATATGGGAGGTGTCACCATCCACACATCACTGCAGGGAGTTTATGAGTGCATGGCTTTCTGATCAGGGAGGCCTAACCACACAGCACAGGGCCCCGAGGGCCATGGAAGCTACTCTGTGCATACCAGAACCTAGCAGGCTCTAATTCCTGTCATGTCGAGTGCTCCCAACTGCCAAATGGTTCTCTAAAAGTTGCACACATCCGGGGAAAAAAATGAATCAATATTTCAACTTTTGATAAAAGTTTGAGATCTTTGATGCCTGGCAGCCTTCTCTTCATAGCCTGGGGGGCAGATAATTGGTTTTTTTGCTACAGTGAAGTAGTGATGACCTGCTTTCTAACTGACAAGGTGATGGACACACAGACAAGATCAGATCTGGTGGGGGGGCATTAAGGCATTAGGAGCTCAGCCCTTCACCCCACATGCACATGGGAACTTAGGGCTAATCACTGCTACTGTGGTAGAGAAAGAACTGATGGGTAAATCTGCTTGCCAGCTGGGGCCTGAGAGAAGATTATTTTAATCCGCAGATGATGAAGTAAAGTTTAGAGAAAGCAGAACTGTTAGGGAAAGTCTGAAAAGAAGGCCACAGCCACAAGGAGTGCCAGCCTGCTCAGGGCCCAGTGGTGCCAAAGGGACACCATAAAGATGTCACCAGCGGGTGCTGAGGGGCTGGGGAGCCAGCCTGGGGCAAAGCTTCCAGTTCCTTTTCCTGTGGAATCCCTGCAGGAATGTTCTCACTGAGAGCCTTTTAAAGACTTTTAAGCGTGTCTGTGTTCATACCAGATGGTATCTGGTTTCCATGACCTACCCTGTGACACAGGTGTGATGAGGTAAAAAGCCAAATGCAGAAGCAAGAAACAAATGCCATGGTCACCAACAATGCTGGGAAGCCCACCAGCCTCTAGGAAAGGATCCATCTGGAACCTGAGTGTTCTAGATCCTTCCATAGCTTCCACTGCTCTATGGCCTGAAATGCCAAGTGTCACTTCCTGGCCCTGTTTTACACACACACACACACACACACACACACACACTCACACACACACACACCAGGCCCTGACAGGTTCCAAAGCAGATCCCAAATACTTCAAAGCTGTCAAAAGGACCATCACATAGAGTGTCAGCCCTACCCTGTCAGCCCTGCCCATTAGAAAGAAGACAATGAAGAACCCTAGTTACTGTAGGCCCAGAAAACAGAAGACCCCCTACAAATCACCTCACCAGGCAAGAGAAAGAAAGTGGAATGAATTTGGCATAGCTCTGACTATGTCATGTGATATTTTTAATGAACAGCAGGCCTTGACTGTCCATTTCATTTCTACCACTGACAAGCTGTGCCCCTCCTGGGAAGGCCCTTCCTATTCAGTGCCTCAGTTTCCTCATCTGAGAAACTGGATGGAGCATTCTGAGTTTATAATGAGCTTCTGCCTGGCATGTAGCTTCTACTAGGGAAGGGTTAACTGCACTGACACAGTCGGTGCTCTATATGAGGGAAGGAACAAATGCAAGTGAATGAGAATTTTATAAAGAGTAAAAGTGCAGGGGATGGATATATGGCTCAAGGGGTAAAAACACTTGCTGCTCTCCAAGAGAACCCAGGTTTGGATCCAGGCATCTACTTTAGGGAGCACACAAACACCTATAATTCCAGCTCCAGATACTCTTCCCATATCAAACACACACACACACACACACACACACACACACACACACACACACACGCTAGGTGCCTAGACTAAAGTGGTATTCAGGCAAGAATCAAAAAGGTCAGTAGAAGAGATGACCCCAAATCATCCCCCACATATACTTCAAAGTATAACTTACAACTGGCCAAGCATCTTGAAGAAACTAATTATGAATGTTACTATGTGTTATATTCACAACAAATCCAGACAGATTAAAAATGTATTTTTAACAAACTCATAGAAGAATAAACATAGAGGTAAAATGCCATATTAATTTGGATCAGGACAGAGCTTTTCTGTGTTAACAACAAAAAAAGGAAAGAAAGGAATTATCAATATGAAGAACAGAAAAGTAGAACCAATAAATTAAAAGGTCATTTGCTTTAAGAAATACCTGGTTAGGGCTGGAGAGATGACTCAACAGTTAAGAGCACTGGCAGCTCTTGCAGAGGCCCTGTGGTCCCCAGCACCACAGGGTGACTCAGGACTGTCAGTAGCTCCTCTTGCAGAGGACTAGACTCTCTTTTAGCCCCTGAGAACACTGCACACACCCAATAAACAGACACACCAGCAGGCAAAATACCCAGACACGTAAAAGTAAAGAAAGTTCTGGTTATATCAAAACACAAAACATGGGAAGAGGGCTGAACCAAGAAGTTGGATTCTAAACACTCTAAGTTATCTGTAATAACTATGTATTTCTATCATTCCACAAAGTGCAAACCAGAGGTACATTTCTACTGAACCCAAACATAGTGCTTGGTGCTGACTGACAGAAGAGCAGCATACTACTTCCCATACATGGTCCAGAAGCCCTGGGCAACCCCAACCTTCCCACACAGCTGTCACCTTGAGGCCCCTCCTCAGGAAGCCATCACTGCTGGAGGTGGTAAGATGTGGTATGACTCTTCATGGGGAGATATAAACCAATGTCTACACAGCCCAGACAGAGCATCAGTCACAGACCAAAGTAATTACTCAACCCAAGACTAGTTCGCTGGCCTGTGTTTACAGTCATAATTATTACAGAAACATGGGTGACTGTAAAACTATGAGCAGTTTTCAATATTTTTCCCATTAAAAATAAGAGGCAAACTGTTAACTTGGTCAGCAAGCACATATTAGCTCTTACATACGTCTAAAGCCAGATGCCAAGCATGGGGCACTCCAGCTCCTCCCAGGATTCTGCTTGACTGAGCAAAAATCAATTCTTTATATGGATCCAATACTCAGAGTCTAACTCTTCACCAGAATGTCATTGGACACTTCTCACTGCTGTCTGGACATGAGAGGGAGGCATGCGTCCCATGGGAAATAAGATGTATCATTTGCTGCCTGCTTCCAGCTGCCAGCAAAAGAGCAGCCTCCACAGCCCAGCCCAGAAATGGGGTGAGGGGGTTCTCCAGGGGAACTGAGGAAAGGAGGAGGGAGGAGGCAGAGGAGAGTTCAGTGGGATATGAGGAGCAGCAGCTCCACATCAGAAGGGATAACAGGATCTCAGGCCCCCTAGGATGGAGGCTGCCCTTGGTGGGCAATGACCAATTATTCTTCAGCAGCTAAGGCCCACCTAAGTGGTGCACAGCACCTGCCAGTAAGCTCTGTGCACCACAGAGCAGAGGGACACAGAGTAGTGTAGAGTGTCCACAGGGCCTCAGCACACACTCAAGCAAGCTCTGCACACCAGAGCAGGACACAGATCTGTATTAGTGCCTCCCTAACATCAAATATTTTACACATGCTCTGGGCATGTGGCAGCTCTGAGTGACAGCAAATAAAGTGCCTATCCTTAGCAAGGCTCAATGGCTGGAAGACTATCTAAACTGTGAGACACAACCTGACCACAGGGGAAAAGCCACTATGTTCAAGTGGCCATGGAATCCCACAATGCACAGAGGCCAATGGACTTTCGAGACAGAAATTGCATACTCACATTTCTTAGGACGGGCAGTGCCAACTGCTCAAAAGAAGCCAGGTCCACCACATACTGCCCAACTCGGCACTCAGGCTTTCCAGGTGGAGGCTGTGACCTGAAAGAAAAAACACTGATGCGGACTCCCCATTAATTTCTGGGGTTGGGCTGCTCTGCTGAGCCCCAGCTCTCTGCACACACCCTTAACGATCACCCATACAAAGGGTGGGAGTGTGGAAGCTTGGACCCACTGGGCCTTGATGAATGTCAACACTGCTTCTGCCAAAGTCAACCCTGCAGTGTAACAGTGACACCCCTACAACTCCAGACTGAGCCCACAGGCCACAGCAAGAGAGCTGAACCTGTCTCAGTCTGAGCCTGATGGTGCAGGTCTGTCAACATCCCAAATAGTCAGGAGGCTGACGAAGGAGAACAAAAAATTTAAGGGCTTCTTGGGCAAGAGTTGAGTTCAATGCCAGCTCAGGCAGCTTGGACTTTCTCAAAATAAAAAGTAAACAGAGGGTGTTGGGTGTGGTGGCACACATCTTTAATCCCAGCACTAGGAGGCAAAGACAGGTGATCTCTCTGAGTTTCAGGCCAGCTGGAGCTTTATAGCAAGACCTTGCATCAAAACAAAACAAACAAAACAAAATTAAGGTTAAAATCAGAGGGCTGGGGAGATAGCTTAGTGATAGAGCCTTGCTTAACATGGGAAAACCATGGGTGCAATCTTAAGTACATCCAAAGAATAATAATCTAAAAAGTAAATAAAAGTGGCTCAGACACAGATAAGAATCATATGAGATATGTGCATGATTCATGGTCAATATTTTAAATGAAACATGACTTTTTTAATCCTCACTTTTCACAGGATGGTCTGTTTCCTTTCTCTGAGAAATTTCTAAAGGTACAAGATAGGCAGGATTACCTGGCCATCCCCGAGTCCAGTCAGACTCTCAGCCCATTGATGGGCAGAATAACACAGATGAGGCCCACAGACAGCCTCAGGCAGAGTCGGCTGTAAGGAAATCACAGTAAAAAAGAAGCTCCCAGGATGGTGAGATGGCTCAGTAGTAAGAACACTTGATGCATAACTCGGCCTGAGTTCAAATCCTCAGCACCAATGTAAAAAGCTAGACATTGGCCCAGTACTGTAGGGGGAGAGGCAGGAGACTTCCAGGTTCAGTGAGAGACCCTGTCTTGAGGGACTAAGGCAGAGAGTGACAGAGCGGGACACCAGATGTCTTTTGGCTTCTGCACACACACACACGTTCCACATGCATGCACACTCACACAGAGAAGAGATGTTTCCAAGTTATGGGCAGGACAAGACAGAGACAAAACCCAAAGAAACAAAACACCAGTACCCGACTCTGGACAGAGGTCCCCGAGCACCAGACAGGGTGACGACATCAAATCCTATCCTCCTCCCTCCTTGCCTGACTTCTTGTGTGTAAAAGCCATCTACGGGCACCCCAGAAGACTGGAGGACCTCGCTGGCTTTCTGGATCAAGGTTGTTTTGCCAACCCCTGAAAAATACAAAGAAAGGAGATAGGTCAGGAATTTTATATTGCCAAGCCCACCCAGCCTGCCAGAGCAATCACTAGGAACAGAGAAGGCTGTAAATGGGTTTCATGACTACTAATTGCACTGCCATGCTGATTGCTCCAGGTGTGAGGAATTTTCATTCCCAGTAGAGACAAGCACAGTGGTGATAGAGTGGCATGGAGTTTATATCTAACACAGTCCCAGGATGTTTCTGGAACCCAACTTCCTTTCCTCCTAGATCAGCAGTTCTCAACCTGTGTGTTAAGACCTCTTTGGGGTCTTACGACCCTTTCATGGGGGTTATCTAAGACCATCAGAAAACACAGATACTTACAACACAATTTATAGCAGCAGAAAAATTACAGTTATAAAGTAGCAATGAAATAATTTTATGGTTGGGGGGTCACCAAAACATGAGGAATGGTATTAAAGGGTCACAGCATCGGGAAGGTTAAGAACCACTGTCCTGTATTTAAGTTCTGTTCTCATTTAAATCGAAAGCATTCCCCCATCCGCCCACATGTCTAATCCAGCTGATGATATGTGGGGGGAGGTTGTTAAGCCAGGAAGACAGGCTGATAAAGGTGGGTCAGTGATGGAGGCAGAGGGTTGCAGCCCTCTGGGTTTCCAGCCCAAGTGCTCTGCTTCCTGTTTAGTGGCATGTGAAACAGCAGACCCACCAGTTTCCACTGCCAGGGACCAAGCTCTGGTCACTCCGGCCTTGGTTGTCATGTTGGACCCCAAAACCATGAGCCCAAAGACATCTTCCTTCTTTGAAGCTGCTTTTGTCACATAATGTGTCACAGCAATGGAAATGACTGACTGACACACCCTCCTTGCTTCACCTAGGTACTGACCTGGCCACACCTGAGTACAGGACACTGGGAATCAAAAGTTTAGCCTTCAAGAGATACAGACCTACACTTACTAGTGTAAATGCAACTCAGTTCACAAGCATCTTCCAAATTCCACAAAGAGCTTCTGGACTTCACAGTCTAGCTCTGAGATTTCCTCTGTGAAATCACCTCCACCCGGGCTCCAAGCAATCCTGCTTGCCCCAAATCTCTGACATCAGGGGCTCCAAGGCTCTAAGAAGTCCTTCCTCTTGACCCCCAAATGTTCCCAAATCGGAGGCCAGGGGCCTCCAATCTACACTCTACCTCTAGGGCCTTTTCCCTTGTAGTCTGGCGGCCATAGACACTCCAGGGTGTTTACCAGCACAGTCACTACCACACACAAACACTATGGAGCACACTCCAAGACACAAGGGTCTAGAAGATCCACAGCTGATCACTTCTGATACACTACAGGGTCCCAAACAATTTCAGCAGCTAACCTTAGGGTTAATATTCCTTAAAAGGCAATTCATGAGCTATACTGCTCAGTGTTACACCCTCCCCCAGTATTCTGGAAGCCCTAGACCCAATCCCTAGTACTGTGTGTGTGGTAGTTTGAATAAGAAATGTCCACCTACCCCATTGTCTCAGGCATTCTGACACTTGGGTATCCAATTGGTGGAGCTGTTTTGTGTATTTAGAAAGCATAGCTTTGCTGTAGGAAGTATGTTACTAGGGGCAGGCTTTGAGCCTAAAAAGCCTGGCTTACTTCTATTTTGCTCTGTTTCCTGCCTACAGTAAAGAATGTGAGCTCTCAGCTTTCCATTCCAACTACCATGCTGCTTCTTGCCGCCACACCTCCCCATTGTGATGTCTGGTTCCATACTTCCAAATAAATCCTTTCTTCTAAAATTTGCTTGGTCACAGTATTGTATCACAGTAACAAAAAAAGTAACACATACATACTGAAAACAAGTGATTCTTAACCTTTATTTTATGCATCTCTCCTCCACATCCACATTAAATAATGGGCAGCACTCAGCGGTCCCAACCGCACAGAACAAAGATCGACTTCTAACCTCTGCTGGCTAGGAAATCAAGGAGATCTGCTTAGTGCTGACCACGTGAGCCAGCCTTCCTTTCCTGAAGGGCCACTTCTATATACCCACCCTAGCCTTTGCTGCTTGGGGACCCAGAGAAAAACCTGTGAAACAGGATGCCCACTATAGGCATCTCCATAGCAACAAAACAATGAAAATTACCTAAATGTTGACCAGAGAGAGAGAATATTAGCTGTGGCATCCAGCACACAACAGTGCAAAACTAACAGGATTATATTACATGGCCACTGAAAGGGATACTGCTTATTTACACATAGTACACAAAAATGATGCAGGCTAAAAGCAGGCTGATTAATAAAAGAAACACAGTATAATCCTCATGGGTTTTAAGCAACATATGTATGTGTCAACAGAAGACATGGTCTAGAACAATACAGAACAAAGACCCCAGGCTCAATTCTACATGGAAGAGTTCCCTGGGGTTGTCACTTTCTTAACACTTCATTTTTGTCCTTACACTAATCAGGCAGCATTTTTGTTATTGGGGAAGGAAAAGTACATTTATGGACCAACATGATGGCTTAATGGGTAAAGGTAGCCACCAAGCATGACGACCTGAGTCCCCTCCTTGAGACCCACATGTCAAAGGAGAGAACAGTTCTGGATCCCAGAGGCCATCACTTCACAGGGACTTGAATGTTACAAATGACAGCGCGGGTCAGCCTCCTTATGAATCTTCATCTCTAGCGTGAGGTCAGCTTAGGTTGAGTGGGCTTTGGTGACCAGAGAGCCCCCTCTGAAATGGCACACAGATTCTGGCCAGTATTTGGGAAGATGCTAAGAGGCAAGTGTACTAACAGAAGTGGAGACAAAGAGTGATTTTGCTAGAGGTCTGAACGTGTAGACAGGGACTTGGAAAGCCAAACCAGTTGGAACAGCTAGTAGTAACCAAACAATTAGTGAGACCACTGAGGTGGACGGAGCACTACCTCCTTGGGAGACAAGGCTGGGGGTGTGGTGCTTGCAAATCCAGGATGCCCAGCACACTCTAGTATGCTAGTACGCGCCAGGGAGGGGAGCATGGGGTCTTGGTTCACTAAATCTCTGATCAACGCAGGTATGGATGAAGGCTCCAGGTGAACACCACAGTAGGATATTGGGGACCCAACTACATCCCCATTTCAAACTCAGGGTGTGCTGTGCAAGGATGGCGCGTCTCCTACCACTGTCCTCTGCTCCTCTTCAAAACTTCTTACTGCCCAAAGGCCTCCAAAGTCTACAAAGTACACCTTGGCCTCTGTGGCTTAAGACCAGGATGAGGGACCTGAGACCCGCGCACCGCACCGCGGTCTTCCCGGCCTTCCCTCCCGCCGGGCTTCGAAGCACCAAGCCAGAACGCAAATGCAACCAAAGCCGGAATTCGGGACAGAGGTCCAGGCCGCGCCCCCTCCCCGCCAAGTCTGGCAGGCCCTGGGTCACCTGGAGGCCCGGTGAGAAACACATGCCGCGCCATGTGCTTAGGGGGTCGAGATGCAGAACGGTCGGGGTCAGAGTAGGCGGCCAGGCTCCGCCCCTTACGCTGAATGTCACGCCCCGGCCTTCCCGGGAAGTACACAGTAGCCGCGCATGCGCTTCCAGCTTGTTTCCCCACCCCCCCACCCCCCCACACACAGCGCACGCGCATTCCTCCCTGCTCCAAGTTGTATATCGTTTGAAAGACCTGGAGACAGATCCCTGGGGTTCCCTGTGCTCCTGTGTAACACTCACACGTGGGATGCCTGCAAAGATGCGTTTATGGGAACGTCAGGTCCCTTGTCATTGTTTCTTCAGGTATCCTGAAGTATGGTCCCAGAGACCCTCACTCCAGACTCCAGGTCAGCTCCTGTGCAACAATAGGGGCCATAGAAACTCTCCTTGAAGGAGCAGACCTTGCTGGGATTCGAACTCCTTGTATAGTGTTCACCTTGATGTAGAGCTGTCAGTCAGCTGGGGGAAAAGATAACCTTGCTTTGTCCCGGCCTTCACCTCCAGAGATGAGTATCTGACCCAAGGTAGCAAGAGTCTAGTTTAAAGATCTGATTTAGCTTTTTATTGCAAGGTGGAAATAGAATGATTATACAGTGAGCTGACTTGACAGGCAGAAAAGGGCCAGAGAATACAGAAACAAAAACAAAAGGGGGGTTTCTCTTTGCAGAGTTCTTCGGTATCCATGGTTGAAACATGACTTTCTCACTGTGTTGATTGAGCCAACTAGACTCCCCTGCTTTAGGGGAAACTAGCCCAAAGCTAGTGTTTCAAAGCTCAGTTTAATGGTTACACTTACCATTAGTGACTGTCTCCATTCTAGCCTGGTCTGGACTGCCAGGGACTAGCAAAGCAGCTTGGCCACAAACAATGACCTCCCCCAGAATGACCTGAGTAACTTGCATTCATCCTGAACACCAGAACCTGTATTCAAGCTCACCTAGGTTGCTGCCCACAGATGCAGGCAGACTTCCTATCCCCAGCCGTGTATAGGAAGCCCACCCTCTGCTTCATACCTCCATACCCCTGTCTGCCAATCCACAGCCACCTACAGGCTGTCTCTGCAAAAAAAAAAAAAAAAAAAAAAAGTAAGAGATCATCACCTCACTTAGCCACAAGACTCATTCTCACCTCACTTAGCCACAAGACTCATTCCCACCAGCAAATAAGTGGCAGTGGCCTTGGGCCACACACCTGTAGAGCTTTTCAGTCTAGCAAGAATGCAATTGGACTTGTGATCAGTCACACTCCATCCTGGCTGAGAAAGCAATTTCCAGGAGTCCTTACCTTAATTGGCTTGTGTGTGTAAAATGTGAGGGCACTCTCATGAGAGCATGTGTACACACACACACACACACACACACACACACACACACACACACACGGATCTTTTGGACTCCCTACAGCAAGCAATATATACCAATCTAACAGTTCAGTTTTCTGTTGTTTAAAAAGAATTCACCTAAAAAGATTGGCATGCTACATCTGTCACCCACATCTCAGCACCATTTATAAATCCTATATTACTATAATGGTATATTACTTATTATCTCAATGGGTATCCTGCCTTCTGCATCTTGCACCTGCATGCAAAATTGGAGTCGGTGAAGCTGATATAAGCAAAGTAAACCCATAGGAGAATCTAACACAGAAAGAAAACATGTATACAATCCTAAGTGTCTCTTGCATCCAAAATACTCATTTTAAATATTAACCCTCTAACATTTTCCACCACTGACAAGCAGTCTAGAATTGTAAGGCCCACTGGGAGTTGGTGTTTTCTTCTTTCACCTGAGTTCAGTAGCTCAAAGATATAGAATCAGATAATAGAAAGTCAATATCTCAGGAAACAAAGAAAATGTCTCCGTAGATGTGCTTACTCTTGAGCACTCTCCCTCTCATTCTCTCTTTTAAGACAGGATCTTTGTGTAGCACAGGTAAGCCTCATACTTGAGCTTCTCCTCAGCTTCCTGAATGTGGGATTATAGGCATTCACCACCAAATCTATCTAGATGGATAAATACACACACACACACACACACACACACACACACGTATGTATATATATAAATGATAGCTATATTGTAGTTCACTATATGACAACTTATTAAACAAACACTTCATACAATTTCCACCAATAACAGCATAGTTTAAATGCTTTACATTTAGTAAATTAGCATCAAAGGAAAGGGTCACAGAAAGTAAGTACCATGCTGAATCCAAATTTGGTTATCTTCTTTTCAAGTGTGTGTGTGTGTGTGTGTGTGTGTGTGTGTGTGTGTGTGTAAGAGAGAGAGAGAGAGAGAGAGAGAGAGAGAGAGAGAGAGAGAGAGAGAGAGAGAGCATATGTGTAATTGTGTATATAGAAGCCATAGGACAACCTCTGGTGTTCCTCAGGAACTACCTACCTTGTTTTTGAGACAAAGTCTCTTACTAGCCTGGAGATTGCTAAGTAGCCTAGACTGGCTGGCCAGTACCCCAAGGATTTTCCTGTCTCTGCCTCCCAAGTCTCGGGATGACAACTGCATACCACTACATCTGCCTTTCTTAATGTGGATGCTGGTGGGTTGAACTCTGATCCTTGTGCATGCAAGACAACTGAGCCTTTCCCACGGCCTTTAGTGATTCCCTCTTTAGGGTGATATGTATTGAATGTGCCCCATCCCCAAAGGATGTGTGAACACTCCACCACATGTAATATATAAGAGGTAGAGCTGGAGGGAGGGGATGAGTGAGGCAGAATGGAATCAAGGGATTTCTAAAGTCCACTAGGAGGCCCCTGGTGCAGGCTGACTTCTTATCTTCAGCCACTGGAGCACCCTGACCTTATACTCCCTGTCACCAGAATTATGGGGAAGGCACATTTGTTGTTGCATGCTGTGATGAGGAATTACCTCCTTGTTATAATAGCCTGGGTTGAAGAGTCCTGAATGAGAGGTAATTCCAGCTGTTTTTTTGTTTGTTTGTTTGTTTGTTTGTTTGCTTTTTTTCCTGCCTGTCCTGGAGCCCCTCCTACTGATTGCACACAGCTCAGTTCTCTGAAGCAGTGGGTGAGCCCCTCAGAGTCTGGAAGACACAGCTACTTTGTTTTCTTATCTCATTTTGCTCAAGACTTTTTGGTCCCTCAGCCTTCATTCAGCAAACCAGCAGGAACCAAGGGAACACCTTCCCTCCCAGAAAGTGGGAAGCAAACAGAGGTCTTCCTAGAGGATTACTAAGGACAAGTGGCAGGAAAGGGAGGCCTGAGCCAGCGCTTGTGTGGTTTGCCTGTGTTAGGAAGGACTGTGTCTGGTTCCAGCTCCTGGTCAACCCCCTTGGCTCACAGTGGTTTGTAAGAAAGTGATGCTTGTGGCTGATACCTGCCTTGGCTGAATGGGAGTCAGAGTACCTGCAGGGAGTGAATGTGGGCAGAGACTGGCTGAGACGTCCCTCCTGCATCCCCCTTCCTCCTTCCATCCTCTGCCTTCCTTCCTGTCTCCCTTTATTCCTCCTCTTCCTCCTGCCCTTCTCCTTTTCCTCCCTTCTCTTCCCTCCTTCTCTCTCCCTCTCTTTCCCTTCCTTGCTCCTTTCCTTCTCTCCCCTCTTCCTTCTCTTTTCTATCTCCACACCTCCCTTCACTTCCTTCCTTCCTCTCCCATTCCCCCCCCCCCAGATACTATGATGGTCAGGATCTGATGTATATCTGAAATAAGATTCTGACTTATAAGAAAAATACATACTACCCCCACCACACACACTTTTATACCTAATGTTCAAATTTCGAAGAAAAATACAAATATCTAGGAGCCATAGTGCTTTTCCACTGAAAAGTAAAATGCCTTTATTTGTGCTGTGTGGACAAGCTCCTTTGTCACCTCTTCAGGTCAAGTAAACTCTGCTGGTGAGAGAGCTGGCATTACATTCCAACCACTGGCCTTTGAATGCTCTCATACATCTGACCCGCAGTAATCACTAGCATTCAGGAAGAGCTGTGGAGAGGCTCTGTTCAAAGAGCTTTGTAAATAATATCAGCACATAGAAACTTCACTCTGTTTGGAGAGAAACCACGGCACAGAGAGGGTAAGGGCTTGTCCGGGGCTGCATCACCCACCCAGGGACACCTATCCATTTAGATACACAGACTCCTCTCATGCAAATGTCCCCAAACCCCTCTGGGTCAATTTCTTTCCTCATTGCTTCAACAAAATATCTGATCAAAGCAGCACAAAGAAGGAAAGGTTGAGGGATGGGCTCACAATGCACAGATGTGGTCCATCATGGTGGGGAAGGTGTGGTGACAGGAACCTGAGGCAGCTGGTCAGATTGCAGCTAGTCAGGAAGTAGAGAGAAATGAATGCTGCTGCCCAGCTTGCTCTCTCCTTTCCTTTTTATGCAATCTGAGACTCTGGCCCATGGGATAGTGCTATGCCCAGTTAAGGGAGGTGCTCCCATCTCGCTAACCCAAGCTAGAAACTCCCTCACACACATTGCCAGAGGCTTTTTCCCAGAGCTATTCTGAACCTCAAGGTGACAGTCAGGATCACCACACTGTGCTCAGTTGAAAAACATATTCGATATACAAGTTACAGACTGCAGAGGCTTAGCAACCTCGTGTGCTGTAGTGAGGAATGTTCAGTCTTGTAAAGGTGAGGCTGATGGAGCTGGCACTACTGGCTGGTAGAGTGTTAGATGCAAATTTCTGTCCTGGGTCAAGCTCACAGGGTAAATGTGCATGCTTGATTTCTACTAAGGATTGCTTTGACACCACAATAAAGTGGGGATCATAAGTTGAAACTCTTAAGTCAGGGGCCCTGTAATATGTATGTGCCTATGTATAATGATTGCATAGACAGGCAGGCAGGCAGGCAGGCAGGCAGGCAGGCAGGCAGGCAGACAGACAGACAGACAGACAGACAGACAGACAGACAGACAGAGAAGCAAATCTGACTCCACTCAAGCATCAGGGAAAAGTCTGTTCTCTCATCCTCTGCACAGTATTCCTGCTCACTGATGAGATCCTGAAAATAGAACAGGGA